TTCTTTAAAAATCTCTATAATAAAGAAAAAAAAAATAAATAAAGAACTTCTTGTAAGTCGCTGCGAATTTCCTCAAGTTAATGAGATATTTCTGATGTTATCTGATCGTCCTCGAAGTACTCGGAACTTCACTGAATATAATGAAACAATAAAAAATATATATAAATTTCTTAGAAGTTCCCTGAATTTTTTTTAAAATATCGGTACTTGCTAAAAGTTCTCACCTTTTTGACGTAGGACTACGTCTGTGATTTTTATATGAGGGTACACTTTGTGAAAACCGAAAACGGAACATGTAACAAAATTATGAAAGATTTTGAACGTTAATAACTTAGCTGCCCCTGGACCAATTTCAATAATTTTTATTACCAACCGATCAGAAATATTTCGACGCATCTGTTAAATTCAAGTCAATAGTAATATTTTTTAAAATGTCACTGTTGAAAATTGCACGAATGTGCAACTGTTGCTATGATAATTAAAATTATCCCCGATTGCCTGCGAAAAAGCGATTTCCCTAACACAGATTTCAAAGTTGAATTCCTTCCGGTCTCACCAAACGGTGTTTATTCAATCACCGCGTAGTGAGTGGTGGTGCTCTCCAGTACACAATTAAAGGCTGCCTGCAGGCAGCAAGCTGCAGCCGACATGAGCATCCATAGAAGGAGGAAGAAACCGCACCGCTATTGATCGGAATCAGTAGCTCTTCGTGATTCATTGTGTGCCATCTACTAGTATGTCAAGTGCGTCATACTAAAGAGTATAAACAGAGAGAACCCCGCTCAAATTCCTATTCCTACACAAAACACAAGCTCCTGCTGCAGTTAACAAATAAGATTGATTATATAAGCCCACATAGACCTACGTCACAATTGCGTACAACCCCATAGGGCTGTACTTTGTAGTTTTTTATTAATAGAACTTCGTTGGTATTTTGTAATCAACTTAGCTAAATAGGGTTAACTACCCCATTTCCGGTCTATTAAGAACAACCCGCACTTAGTTTTTCTTAATCTAGCGCAGTTGAGCATCAAACAGAATGTTATTATTACTGATGGCTTCCAAATTTATTTACCTTTCCGTACGTACCGTACGATTTGATACAGAGAAACCAATCGTTGAGATATTGTCAAAAGTCTAACACTGCTTCTTGACGCCAAACTCGGCCTACGGATTCTAAACTCGGCCTAACGCATTGAAACACCATTGAAACGGCCTATCGGATGAAGATAAAACAGGATTCGGTCGGAGCGCTTCTTTTGTTTTTGAGAATAATGGGTACAAACCTTCATATCACGCGTTCTCACTTCGTTCGGTAGCTTATTAACTAAAGTATCGTACCAAACGCACAATTGACTTGTTAACTCTAAAATCATGGATTTATTTGAAGTTTTCTGCTCGATAGGCCCAAAATGGGCGATGAGCTTTTGTACGTACGAGCTAGAAGAGCGTTATCAGTGATTGCGGTGGTTCAAGGAAAATTAAATAAAGCATTTCTGAAAACATGACGCTGCAAAGTCTCTAGGCCAATCGGGTGAGATCTTTCCATTTTATCTATTTATATTTTATTTTTTGTCACTGATTTATCAAATGCTCTATATTGACGAATAGAGTTGCCAAATCATTCACCCTCCCACTAACACAACTCTTTCCTTCCTGTGACACCTATGAAGGTAGTATGGGTTCCCTGCACCTTCTTAAGTAGATGTTGGATTAAATTTCCCTCCCTTCCCCTGCGATTGTAAGGATGTGGCCAGGTGTATAATGCGATGCTTGTATTGTAGATTTTATTTTCGTGTGGGGAAAATCACTAATCCCAAGTGATATTTTATGCGTCAACACTCGATATTTTCTGCAAAACGTATTAGTTGACCATTATATAGCCACCCACGATTTGTACAATCGCATATGCTATGCTATGCTATGCTATGCTATGCTATGCTATGCTATGCTATATCAACAAATGCGTATTCGTTGATCAATAATGAACTCAATTGTTCGTTTCGCTCGTACTTTGCAGCGAAGATATTCAAAACGAACGCAATTCATCTACACTGGGTTGAAGCGCTACTCGTTGCGTGTGATGGTAAATTATAAAAACAGACACTATTCAAAACTTTTAGAACTCGTGGAGTCTTATCTTTCTAGAAGTACCGGGAGTATTGGATGTTCCTGGAGGGGTTAGTTGCCGACTTATAAAGAGTTCTCGAAATTACAGAATTTGTAATAGCTCGTGAGGGAGTCTCGAAAGTTTCTGGAAATTTCAAGCGTTCTGGTTGATTGCGGGTGTTTCTAAAGTTTGTGGCATTGAAATTTGTTCAGGAAGTTGGTTGAGCACTTGAAATTCTTATATTCGTGAAAATATCAGGAGTTTCAACTGTGACGAGTTGCAGGTCAACTTCTCTACCCACATATCTTATCAGAGTACTGTCAATTCATGAATGTGCATCTTTCAATTAAAATAATTTGGGAAGTTTCTATTGCTAGCCGGAACCGGCAAATTCATTAGAGACCATGTCAACTGACTAGAGAGAAAATGTTCACTCGATTACACCAGAACAGGTTCCGGATGCCCTAAGGAAAGTGACCAATCGTACAATAGAAAACTGAAAATATAGCGGCAATTTATTGAAGTCTATGCCAGCTGACTAGAATAATAATGGCCACCTAATGGCCCCGGAGTTCCAAAAACCTTGATGGAAGTGGTCAATTTAGGATAAACAAGAAAAACCTGTTGTGTTTCAGAATTCAGAATTTTGAGAATTTGATGGACAACTAATTTGAAATTAAGCCAGTGTAATAATGGTCAGCCGATGGGTTCTGGGAGTCCCAAGAGAAGTGGCCACTATCTGCGAATAGCATAAACCAGCCGTGTGATGTATCTCATTTTTCAGAATCAACTAACCAGGGCAATAATGGTCACAGAATGGCCGAGTAACAGGTTCCGAAAGCTTTACTGCCCATAATCGTAAGTCAGTCCCATCTGTAAAAAACTGGATATGAGAGGTGTTCAAAGATTTTACAAGTTTTCTGATTTGACACTTATTTTGGAGGGATAAATTAAAAAAAAACGTACAATGCGATAAAATGCATCTATGTTTACCAAAAAATATTGGGAAATATCATGAAATTTTTATTGCATGGCCAAAATCTGAGTGGGACTGACTTGCGATTACATTTAACGTCAATGAGAAAAATAACCGCAAGTCAGTCACAATTCCATGACGATGCTGCATTAGTTTAGCACAACTTTGAATAGTTGAAAGATATCATGGTCCCATAGAACGTTATTGAATGTTTCTGGATTTGTTCCGCTGGTTCCAGAGCAATGGCCGGAACATATTCCGGTGAGTATGGGTTTTCATCAGACGTGCCAAACCCACCACGCGATAAATCAATTCATACGACAATTCAAAGATAAGATCAATAAGAGTCATGATGAGTGACCAGCACCATATTGGCCACACCCGGAAACGTTCCGGGTATCCCAGGGGAAGTGGTAAATCGTTTTTAGATCAAAATCCATCAAACGATACATCAAATTACATGAGAATTCAAAGCCATATCCATTGGCGGTCAGACTGAGTATCGTATGAACTATATTGACCACATCTGGATATGTTCCAGATACCCTAAGGGAAGTGGACAAAATCTGTCTTAAGACAAATCTCATAATGCGATGTGTTGTCTAACATTTCTACACACGTTTTTCTAATGGGACTGACTTCCGGTTACTTTTCGCTGTTAGACAATTTGACTTGGTATTGTTTTTCATTTTTCTTGAACAAACCACCTTTTTTCAATAGCACATCTCAAAAAACACAGAGAGATAAACTGAATAATGATGCTAACTCAAAATTGATAAAAATGCAGATGGGACTGACTTGCGATTACCGTCGTTCTCATAGAGCGAGAGGTTCAACTAACCAGAGTGACAATGATCGCCTAATGACCCCAGAACAGGTTTCAAAATTCTCGAGGGAATCGGCCAATCTCATGTATCAACAGAAACCAACATTTTCATAATCGTTCGGACAATTCGTTATTGATTAAGCCAATTGACCAGATTAACAATGGTATTCTAATAGCCCCGGAACAGGCTCCGGAAGTCGCAATGGAAGTGGTCAATCTATTATAACAATATAAACCAGCCGTGTAACAATATTTTCAGAATTGTATAAGCAATTCATTAAAGACCATTCCAACTAACCAGAATGCCAACTGATCAAGTGACCCCGAAACAAGTTCCAAAAGCCTCAAGGGAAGTGGCCTTCAGATTTTAATGGATAATTAATATAAATTTTTTTTTTGCTATTTACCAATGTAGCAATGGTCATCCAATGGTTACGGAACAAGTTTCGGAAGTGACCAATCTCTGATAGCGACGTATTGGTTTTTTTTAGAATTCTATTGTCCATTAATTAAAGACTATGCCAACCGACCAGAGTATCAATGGAACCTGAACAGATTCTGGGAACCCCGACACGAATCGTGTAACATCCCATACATTTCAGAATTGTATGAGAAATTCATTAAAGACCATCCCTAATAAAAAATAACCATAAACGAACGATAACCCAAATCATTGAACTATTCCACAAATTGTTTGGATGATACCCAGAACACGTCGTTAAGCAAATTAACCATACAATTTTTATTAGGGATGCCAATTGACCAGAGTAATAATGGTCAACTAAGCAGAAACTAGTCGTGTGGCATATCAAAACTAGCCAGAATGACAACGGCCATTTGATGGCCCGAAACAGGTTCCGTACGGCCGTGGGGAAGTGGTCAATCTCTGCCTTCAACGGAAATTAGTCGAGCAACGTTTCAAAATTTCAAAATGTTATGGACAATTCATTAACGACCAAACCAACTGACGAGAGTGTCAATGGACACACGATGGGCCACGGTACAGCTTCCGGAAGCCCCGAGGGCAGTGGTCAATCTCTGCTTTCAAACAGCAACTTAACAAAATTTCATATTTGACATGTACTCACTTTTCATTTGGCTTCGGTTGATACTGTGGCGGCTGTGGACTGACGCTCCTCCGGAGCGAACTGTGGTGGTTCTTCTTCGGTTTGATGGACAGCTTGTGCTTGGAAATGGAACTGTCCAGCAGGCTTTCGGTTTTGCCAACATTCAGCTGCGGATCCAGCTTGGGCCTCCTGGTGCGACGATCGTACGATTCAGGAAAAGGGGGAAGATTTTCTCATCAATGAGCGAATGTTCGAGGATTTGCGGATACTCACTTTGCTGTGGCTGCAGCGGCGACGGCGGCGGCGGATTCGCCCATGTCCAGAACCTCGACGAGGTCTCCCACCCGGACCGAGATGGAGTCCGGACCTTCGGCATCGTAGGTTTTGTTTACCACCAAAATATCATACATCTGGACAGCAGTCAAAACAGAGAGAGAGAGAGAGAGATAGGTAATTAGTTTTCGGCGAGTGAGGGTTGCAATGCAGAGGGGAGGGGTCGACGACGTACAACAAGTTTCGGATGTCGGCTTATTTCAGAAGCAAAATGGTTTACTAATGATGTGCATTAATTAATTTTTAAGTACACAGTTGATCTATTTTCGGACCGATTACGAAACATCGATGCAGGTTTGCAATTCGTCGTAGCATTAGCCAAAATGCATTCATGTGTTTTTTTTTTTCTTCAAACCTCTAATTGAGTAATAAATTTATCCGGGCCAGTAATTTATATCGCGACAATTAAATATTCATTTAGTTTTCCTCCCACCCCATTTCCCAAGTGCCACTGACTTTTCCACTGGTCCGAATTGCACTGCTTTAGTTTAGAAAAATAGAAGGAGGAAAAGTGATCGTAAATCCGACCTTAACGACCGGAATCAATCTTCCCGGAATTGAGAAGAGATGTTTTAAAGTCAACCCCGGCTAGAATTTCCCACCCCTGGCCCTGGGGAAGTCGTTAATCGTCAATTTGAATGGTGGAATGTTGGCGCATTTAGCACATTCGGTGATCGGCTGCACCGGGATGCATTTCAGAAAAAATCGAGCTCGGAAAATCCTAAATCCGAAAAGCGTGTCTAGACAATCCATTTAGTCTCCGTAAACAATGTAAGATCGTATCTCACCCGGCCGTCTCCCGTCCTCCCTAGTTGCCTGCTGTTTGGTAACGCTCATCATCGATTCGCCATTCTTACGAGCACGTCGAAAAGGCGCTGAGTGAAATAGAGCATATCGTTCGAAAATTAACTTCAGTTGTGGATTATTTAGTGGCACGGTAGAAGACATGGTCCCAGACAAACGAATGTACGCTGCTTCTCGAATTTGGTCCCTGGTAAATGAACCCACAGTCACATCCGATTGTCTGTGGTTGCACCGTCCCGCCCCGTAAAAGGTGAGAACCCGTTTCTATTTTAAGCCAAGCAGCACTTCATTTTAAATGCGTTGCTTGCTTACCCACAAAATATGGAGAAATGAAACCATTTCTCATTTGGAACACCCCGCTTCGATCGTACTTTAACCCGGGTTGTAACATTCGAGTAATAACCATTTAATGCAACCGCGCTCTATTCCGGCTTTGTTTACCATCGACCGAGGGTGGTAATTTTACGACGCCGTAAGAGCAGCAGTCCTCGCCAAAGGTCAATCGCACTGGGTGTTTGTTTTCCATTGCGTCCGTCGGGAAAGTGCCTTGCCATCCGCATGTTGCGCAACGAGAGAGGTGGCCATTAGTCATAAGTCGATTTTAATCGATTTTGACAGTTTTCGTCTTTCAGCAGGCAGGGTTAGTGTGTGGGCAACATTTTAGTCCATTTTATTGGCTTGATCTGAATCGGGATTAAAAATAGAGTTGGAGATTCTGTTTCGAGTTGCAGATCTTTCATTCTATTTAGGTGAGATCTCGGGATCGAAAGCTAGCTAATACGAAGTGTAACCGATACAATTGAACTTGCCGTGTGCCAAAATGTCCCTACTCGTTTGGTCAGACGAGCGTCACATTAGAATTTGATTGACGGCCAAAGAGGCGCTCCCAACGGACGACCGACGAGCACGCAAGCAAGATGAAAGCGTTCAACTGTCATAGTTGACCTAGAATTGGTCGGTTTCCGGAGTGAACCAATCATCCGATGATATTCTCCGTACATTGTGCTGTGCTGACCTTTTTGGGTGGCCTTGACTCGTTGTAGTGTAGGATCACTTTTGAGGTGAGAACCTAGGGGTTAGAGAACTATTATTTGAAGCGAATAGACCAGCGTTTGTCAATCTGAGAGGCGCAGTAGGCTCTGCCCGCAAACGGTCGGTTTTAATTTCGCTGTCACAAATTCCGTGTTTTCCGCGTGCTGTTTGGCTTGTACCAAGGAAAAAAGTAATTCGTTTTCATTATTATCATGTGAATATAGATTCACCATGATTAATTTATCGGTGTTTTAATATTGTAAATTATTGTGAAAATTCCCGGGTTAGAATTTTTTTTGAATAGTTGTGTTGCTGTAGCGTTGTGCTAGTGTGTTTCGGTGCTACGCTTCTACTCCCGGAAGCAACGTTTGCCGTGTCTTTTTACGTATTTGGTATTGGCGTTCTGCCCCCTGGACAATAACCGGGAAAGATGATTTTGCAGATTAGACTACGATCCTTCCACGTCGAGGACACAATACATAAGCGGTGAGATCTAACTGATTACAACTAGATATAAAAATATGAAATGCATCCTACTAAATACGTGCCATCTACAAAGCAGGAATTGCTTTGATGATGGAAGTGTACACGCAGTACCAATATACATTTTATATCGGTACTACGTGTATGCGGGGCTTGTTGTAAGTGAAAGTAACCTCGGAATGGACGTGAGTGACCAGGCATTCTGAAATGGGTTACTGAATCTCAACAGAGCTATCGCCTTTCAACTTCCGGGCTAAAATTGTTTGCAATGAGGTCAGTATAATATTTGCAATACAATTATTGCAAACATTTTTTTCCATAAAAACACTGCCGGACAGTGGAAGTTGGATTGTATATACATACATACATACATACATACATACATACATAGACCAGCGTTTGTCAATCTACGAATTGTGACCCACCGGTGAGTTGTGGACTGTCTTTAGATGGGTCGCAGGAGTTCAATAAACTTGTTCATTCGTTTTTGTAAAACATGGAAAATTGAACTGAATTTCTCAAATGATAACCTTTCTGTTTTGTTTGTTTTAGTAAAACTGAAAACAAATTTTCAGCCTAATTTAATGAAACACGCTCGTTTTCTCATAATAAATCAAACCTCTTTAAATGTAATCCTTAATGTAATTTCTTTTTAATTTTTCAAATAGTGAGCTGTTCTATACCAAATAGGAAAAAAATTACTTGACCTTCTCAGATTTGCATGCAAGCCTTTATTTTTCACTAAAACTTTGACTCAGACGTCATTTCGATCATAAGGGACGTTTCCGTGCTACAATTTATTGAAAAATGTCTAAGACGCCATTTTGAAACAGTTTACAAAATCCAAAATGGCAGAATTTTTTTGCAAATCGAAGAAAGTCGAGTATTTCCGATGCGTCATTTGGCGGGGAACTGCTCTAATCTGTTTATTTTATAATTACCAATACTATTTTTGCAGTTAATGGGCTATTTGGTGTTTGGAAGATTGTAATTTCGGTTCTAGTCTGTTTCGGGCCTGTCATGGTGGTTACTCATGATTACTTCATGGGTAAGCAGCTCCGACAATCGATTTGTTTTTTGACGTAGAATTACGTCTTTCGGCAACATATTGGGGGTGCTATTTTTTGTCAAAAAACAAAAACCGACCGCGTTACGAAAAGTGGTTAGGTTTTGACCACTTATAACTCTGTCAATAGCGGATGGATTTTAATTCTAAACAAGCTAACCAATTGGAAATGTTTCTACAAATCTGCTTAAATGAAAACTTTATCAATTTTCAATAGAAAACTACACGAATGTCCAACTGTTACAATGGTGATCAAAATAATCACCGATTGCCTGCAAAAAGCGCTTTCCCTAACACAGATTTCATAAACGAATTCCAGCCGGTCTTGTTTTTCAATCAGCGTCCTTAAATATGCAATTAAAATATAACTACACACTTAAAAATAACTACTTTTACACGAGACGTAATCCATATTGGACGTAAATCATAAAACGTAAACAAACATTTCATGTAAAATTAAGTGTTCTCAAACCGAAACATAAGCTACTAGTCCTAGAGAACGTTTGATTGAATTGATTTTCTCGTTTCTTTCAACTGATTCTTATGTCAAAAGGGCCGCTTACATGTGTCGGTCTCAGGGAACCGAAATGTAGAAACGCTTGGAAAATATTCTGCCTGCAATAATATTATTAAAAATGTTATACACTCATCAGACGTAACATTTGTTGCGCCCATCAGGTATAAACAGTTTAATTTTATTTGGGTTGCCTTATAAATGCTTATGCCGCTGTGAAGACAGATAGCTAAATCTCTATATGAACTGCACACTTAGAAAAATTCATGTAAATTTATGTGCTCTGAGACTGACATAGGGGAATTTACGTATTCTCGTCAATCTAAGCAGCGTCTGCACTTCTACTAGCATTTTCTCAGCGTCACGCACATATATGATGTGTCTGTTTGTTTACATTCATCTGCTGCTTGCTTCTCTATCCATTCCAATCGACAGAATTTTTTAAAACGTTTTGAAAGCGTTTTTACAACGCTCCAAACTTCTCAGGTGAGTGTGACTATTGTCGGCAGTCTCTTTTTCTTCGGCAACCTTCTCATTAGAACTGCGTGTTAACCAGCTGTTTTATTATCGGCAACTCGAAATCAACCTCATTTTGTAGTGCGTATGCTTTATTTGAAGAAAAATGTAGCATTACTGGATTGCTCGATCGTTCAAATATAATCAGATTGAAGCTGAAAGGCTAAACAATCGTTTGGACACATTCAGGGAAGTGCGTTGATGGGAAAACATAGTGAAATTAACGTTTAAATTTTGGTTGCCGAAAACAGTCAATGGGTGCCGAAGCCAACATTTACCCTATACGAGCGTCAATTCTGACATAAAATTGAGCAATAATAGACGCGAAATTCAGCTCAATCAAACGTACTTTTCGTCGAGTAACGAACTTTTCAGTCTTCAAGCACTTAATTTTACATGGCATGTTTGTTTACGTCTCATCCTTTATGGAGCGGTTCCATATCATTAAAGCAACGAGTAATTTTCATCTTTTTTGATTTGCATGAAACCTTGCATACAAGTTTTTGGAGAAGAAAAACGCCGTTTTGCATACTTGGTTCGCCATTTTGAATCTAGCCTTACTTATGAGAAGGGCCTATGAAAAATGCACATGATATCTTCAAAAAATTGTATCTCGGAAACGGTTTGTCCGATTGGTTTGGTCTCTTGGGCGAAGTTTTAGA